TAGGGCCAGGGGTGGTAGGGCTAGGGGTGGAAGGGCCAGGGGTGGAAGGGCTAGGGATACCGGGGCCAACAATAGTAGTAGTAAATCTTATGATGACGCAGACATTAGTAATACCCTCCCTCCCTTTCAACCAAGCCGTCCGCCAGGAATTCATTTTGATAGACATGTCTTGCGGGGAGGAATGACAACTGAATTAGAATTTTTTCATCTCTTCTTCACCACCGAGATGATAAAATCAGTTGTTGCCCACACCAACAGCTACGCATTCATGAGACTTGTAGCTGGGGGGTTCACCACATACACCACTGGGGAGGGGGCCTGGAAAACAACTACTGAAGATGAAATAAATCGTTTAATTGCTATTTTGATTTATTTTGGTCTGGTACGTGTAGACACAGCAGTTGAAAAGTATTGGAGCACAAAGACCCTTTACCACGGTCTCTGGGCAAGGAAAATACTTTCCCGTAAACGTTACAAAGCCCTTATGGCATTCTTGCATGTGGTAGACCCCGCCGAAGAGGTTGCTAGCAATAAACTGCGCAAGGTTGAGGAGTTTCTGGCATCGTTCAAAGAGCGATGCCGTATGTTATACCAACCATACCAGAATATTGCTGTAGATGAACGCATGGTTAAGTCTAAGCATAGGTCAGGGATTAGGCAATACATGAAGAATAAGCCTACAAAATGGGGGATAAAGCTCTGGGTATTGGCAGATAGTTCAAATGGGTATACAATTGATTTCAATGTTTACATAGGTAAGTCACAGCATGAAGCACCGTCGCAGAATGGCCTTGGTTATGATGTGGTGATGAAGTTGGTGAATCCATATTTGGGGCAGGGGTATCATGTATTTTTTGATAATTTTTTTTCATCCCCTAAGTTAGTCCAAGATTTGTTCATGAATGGGACCCCATCATCAGGCACATGTAAAATTAACAGGGAGGGTTTCCCCGAATCCATGAAGGATGTGAAGGTGTGGGCGAGGAATTTGAAGCGAGGTAGCATGCGATGGGCAAGGGAATCCAATGTGTTAACCCTGCAATGGATTGATAACAGGCCTGTTTCCTTGATTACATCAATTGATTCCGCGAATGATAAAAAGGATGTGGAGAGAAGAACGAAAACGAGAGGAGTGTTTGAAAAGGTGAATGTAAGCCAGCCCTATGCATTTCATAGATATAACCAGTACATGAACGCAGTAGATAGGTCAGACCAAATGCTTGCATGTCATAATGTATCTCGTAAGTGTTATCAATGGTGGAAGACATTATTCTTCCACTTAATAGATATGGCAATTGTTAACAGTTTCCTTCTATTTCAAAGCCATCGTAACAGTGACCCGGGTAATCCGGCATTGCATCGTAAGTCCACATATACTATGGTTGATTATAGGGAAGAGCTTGTTAGACAGCTTTGTGGGTTAGCAGAGTATGATAGACCTCCTGTAAATGAGCAAGTGCAGGCTGTTCCTCCCCCAGATCAGTTCTGTACTGCCCATTTAGCTACAACAGCAGCAAATGGTGTAAGAAGGAATTGCGTTGTTTGTTATGCAGAAGGTCGAGGGGAGAGGAAGGTTTCTACTTATTGTAGTGCCCCTCAGTGCAATAGGCACATGCATGTTGGTGGTGAGCATGATTGTTTTGTTGTATGGCATAGTAGGGATTACACTGGTAGGAGGTCATGAGTATTTCTGCATTTGGTATTTTGGGTGGACTGAAACATGTCCAACATCAAATTTGTCAAACGAATGAAATTTGTATCATATTTTCCCATTATGATTACAGGTCATTCATTGTATGACATACATTTCATTTTTTAATAAAAATTTTCCTTATTATTTGTGTTACATTCATGTATATTTAATGTAATTATTTACTTTATTATTAAAAATTAAAAAAAGAAGTGTGTTTCCTAATGAATTTGATTGCAAGCGGTGTCGTTCAATCTCACAATAGTACTTTTGGGTGCCTGTACACATTTTTTTTACTCAATCAAATGGGGAAATTTCCCTTGAACATAGTAGAACATAATGGTGTCAGCTACTTTTAAAATTATGTTGCTGCAAACATTTGTTGTTTACCAGGGGGGGGGGGTGACTTTCCCAATTCGGGTTGCCGAGTTGCTTAGAACCTTTATTTTGACAAATAATGGAAAGGATTTCACTGGAGAGAATGTGGGGGGGGGGGGAGTTAAATTCTTAAAGCCTACCCACTACCACTATGTAAAAAATATATATATGACTCTGGCATGATTACTAGATTGGAGACATGTCAATGAAATTGAAGGTAAGATTCTGCCATTTCTAAAGAGTGAACTTCAAAAATTAAAAAAAATATTTTCTGTTAGTCAATTATTTTGAAACTTGGCACACATATACTATATAACCTAAGCGAACTTTTCATAAATATAATGCATTGAAAATTGTGCATTGTTTGATCTTAATGACGCAAAATGCAAATATTATTGCCACATTTTTGCATAATTTAAGCAAATTTATGCATTTTTTGGTCACGTGTCACATTTGAAAACGGAACCAACGTCATCAATCGATAGCCGAAGTCATGAGCTTTCCAACGATGCATTATGCGCTTAAAAGGGTCAAGTACTCGCAGAGAAAATCACACCGGAACATAACACACCTATCCATCACGTGAATAGGACGGTCTTAGCTTTTGTATAGGGCTGAAACACGTATTTCAATTTCTCAAAATACGTCTCACTTCATTGAATCCCGGGCAAGCGGGACCATATAAACAGCCCCTAAAACGTGCACTTTCATCCTCGTTTGATCGAGGCTTTACGCGGAAGCGGTCATAATTTGCCTGCCTATAGCGAGATTAGACTTTCGTAAAGTCCTTCGTCTTTACAACCAACCAATGGAATTTTCGAAGAAAATTCTCGCGCTCGCCCGGTTTGCTCGGTCGCTCGGAAGTCTATAGCGAGGTTGCAAAGTGAAAGTGGGCAAATACAACAGATTAACAGAGCAACAGTAAGTCAATTCGCCATGGCAGTTGAACTACATGTACTTGCTACTGAGTACTGTACAGGGTGTATAAAAAATGGGACCTTTTAGACATCAAGCTGTTATTGGAATGCATGGCACTATGATGAACCCACGGATACGTAAAACAGTATGGATACAGCGCGTCCCCCCAAAAACCAAAACCATTGAAATAACGAAATGTTCGAACAGCTAGCTTAAGGTGGCTCCCTACAGTTTTCTAAAATTTTAAGTATTTTAGGTAACCTTCGTTTTGAACCAAATTTATATTGAACACACTTAAGACAGGGCAATATAATCATTTCCAGGAAAGTTCAGAAGTCTTCTGCTGTCGACATATGAACAAATAGGAACAGTGTTAGTGTTGCCATGGCAACCATGACGTTTCATCTTTTGCACTTTTATTGTCTAATTTTACAATCAAACGGCAATATCTTTTTTTTTCTTCGGTCAATTTTTCTGAATTTGTTTTTTAAGATTTATGGTTGAAAGGGGAATGACATATTAAAATTTGAAGGGATGTTTATAAGGCAGGTTTTGAGATATTCATCAATAACGACTACAAAAAATCTGTCTTATAGAATTTCTTGAAATTTTGATATGTTTGGCGAATCGTCATGCTTAGCAAACGTGCAAAGTTTAAAAAATTTTCACCGAAGGAAACGCGAGAAAAATAGCCCTAAATCCAGTTGAAGCTGTTGACGTGACAAAATATAATATCGATTCGACATGATCACTATTTGCGTGAGGAACACGAAACGCGTACGGTTTATAGTTGGCTTTTTTACTGAGCAATTTTCTCTTTGAGTTTTTGGCTTATATGTATCACACAGATATTTTTTACTTAGTTTGAAATGAAAATAAAAGATATATATATATTCAAAATACAAAACATTGAGAACACAATAACGCACTGACTTAATCCAACGTTTCTTAAATTTAGTTTTGTTGTGAAAATCGGTGTGAAAACTTTTCAAAACATTCAAGTAGAGTTTGACTTTTCGTACAAAACAACTCGTAACTGTCTGCATTATAGTTTTATTGGATTCAGCAGATAAAAAAAGTACATGCGAACTGAGTTGAATGACAGGATTTACGTAAGTTTCAGTGATAGTTCAGGAGTGCCTTGAAGACAGTATAAAATATAATAATTTTCAGTCCGTGACATTGTTGTTGAACATTGTGAGCATTATTATGAAATACAGTACTGAAACGTATTAAATATATAAAAAAAAAACACACAGAAGGTAGGTAAAAAAACTAGCTAACAAAATACGTACTGTTCGAATGTTGAAAAGTTTAGGATTATAATAAAAAACTGGCGTTTTCTTTGTAGATAAAAATACAAAAACAACTTCCCGCGGCTTGTTTCAAGATTTTTACCCGACCACGAAGATTCCACGCGCGAGTCGCGAGGATTACGTCTGAGCTATATAAATGTTTTAAACTGGACTATAACTGTAGGGAGCCACCTTAAGGCTTTGATATGCATATTCTATTAATCCTAATTATTTCAGTCCTAGCTGTGTAAAAGAAACACATCATGTGTAAAAGAAATCAAGCTATTGTTGTTAAGCACAATATTTTGTGCTCCTGCATGGGAATTTAAAACAGCTTCTAATCGATCGTATGAACTAATAAAAAATTACTAATTAGTCGTATCATCAGTTCGAATAAAAGTGCTCATAGGCATAGCCATAGCCCATAGGGCAAGGTCAGGAGTTTGTACTGTTTTTCGCGTTGCGTTAAATTAATCAGCACATAATTCAAATACTGGACGAAACCAAATTTTGGGAACGAGGTTGATTTATAGTCATGCATAAAATTCACTTCTACAGTATGCGCCCTGTCAATATTTTACGCATCTTTGCTTCCAGTTTATACAGTAGTGCTAGTGCATCCACATTTTATCATTATTTGTGTTTCACTTATAATGTTGTCTCCTGTGTTTAAAACAAAAGACTTTCTACTTTTGGGACTTTTGGGACTCAATGAAATACCCACGCACGTAGTCTAAATATAACTCACAAGTTCGACGAGATCGCTTCAATTATCTTAGACCAAAAATATCACATTTTTGCCATTTCTGAAACATGGTTAAATGAATCGATTTCTAGCGATAATTTAGCTATTCCTGGTTATTACCCCTTAATTCGTTTAGATAGGCGTGATGGGAGACGATATGGGGGTGTTGCCTTTTATGTTTCTTCCGGATTGACAATTAAAAGAAGAAATGATTTAGAAGTTAATGAACTGGAAATTCTATGGATAGAAACTAAAATCAATTCTTTTAATATTATTTGCGGGGTATGTTATAGACCACCTTCCAATCTTTCTGGAGAGTATCTTGATTTCTTAGCAAATTTACAATATAGTGTTGACAAAGCCTCCACTGATTCAAATTCCTTACTTATTCTTTTGGGGAACTTTAATGCTAATTATGACCCTTTTAATCCTTTACAAGGCAGTGATTTTGGTGTGATGTTTTATCGTTGGATGGAGTCTAGTAATTTACATCAAGTTATTAATGAGCCAACCCGTATTACACGGTCTGGTGAAGCTATGATAGATTTTATTGTAACTAACTGTCCTGGATTATTCGTTGCTACTGGAACACTAAGTCCTCCGGCTAATTGCGACCATTCAATCATTTACGGTAAACTAAATATATTTTTGCCTAAACCTAAGTGTTATAAACGTTTAATCTGGCTCTTTGATAATGTGAATGTACATGATCTCTGCACTGGTTTGGAAAATGTCCCTTGGGATTCTATTGTGTTTGATAAATCAGATTTGAACGAAATCTACAATTCTTGGTATGCCTGCTTTCGCTCGGTTGTTGAGACCAATATTACTAATAAACTTGTGATCATTCGACCTCGTGATAAACCGTGGATGAACAATTTTATTAGGTCAGCTATTCGAAAACGGAATAGACTGTTAAGAGTCTATAATAGAAAAAAGTCAACAGTACTATGGCAAAAATATCGTCAGCAGCGAAATTTCACTACAACTTTAATTAGGAATAATAAAGCTAGGTATTTTGAAAAA